TGTGTGGAATTACAACGGATGGGGCTCCAGCAATGACAGGCGGGCGCAAAGGAACGGCCTCTATGGTGAGTGCCAAGGTGCGGGAGAGTGGACGTGAGGCTGTCAAAATGCACTGTATCATCCACCAAGAAGCCCTCTGTGCCAAGATAATCCAGCTTGGCGTTCCTCTCTGATGTCGATGCTGAATACGGGGACCTACTCTACCATTCTGAAGTGCGCTGGCTCAGTCGCGCCTCCGTGCTGCAGCGGTTTTATTCCCTGAGATCAAATATCGACAAGTTTTTTTAAAGAAAAGGGCAGACCTCTCCATGAGATCAGTGACCCTTTATGGTTGGCAGACCTGGCTTTTTTAGTTGATCTCACTGATCATCTCAACACCCTGAACAAGAGACTACAAGGCAAAGAGCAGCTGGTACCACAGCTGTATGCGCACATGAAAGCATTCCGTGCGAAGCTCCGTCTCTTCGAGTCTCAACTGCGCAACTTCAATGTAGCGCACTTCCCCACGCTGACCGAAATCAAAAGCACAAAAATGGGAGAATATGTGTCTGTGATCACATCTCTCATGACAGAATTCAGTCAGCGCTTCCAAGATTTTTCTGTCATTGAGAAGGAAATCACACTGTTTGCGGCTCCGTTTTCAATGGATGCAAAAGAAGTGGAGGAGAGTCTGCAATTAGAACTGATCGAAATTCAGTGTGATGTTTCTCTGAAGAATCAGCATCAGCTTCTCTCCCTACCTGACTTCTACCGGAGCTTGGAAAAGGCCTCTGATGAGACGCCATGCAAAACGAATGATGAGTCTGTTCGGCTCAACATACATCTGTGAGCAGACATTCTCTCTGTTAACGCTGAACAAAAGCAGACTGAGAACCACAACGACCGACAGCCATCTCAGTGACGTCCTTCGCATCTCAACCACCAAACTTACTCCTGACCTGCCAGCTATCCTTCACACCAAAGCGCAGCATCACAGCTCCCACTGAGCGCAACATTTTTCCCATTACAGGTGAGTTCAAAATATACACGCAGTTTTCATTTGTTAATTAGCCCAATTACTTTATAAATTCAGTCAATTAAAGTTGATAATTTTTTAACAAACGTTAGTTGATGTGTTAACAAGCCCAATAATTTATTTGTGTAATAAGCTTGAAATATCCACATCCCCTATTTCTCTTCTTGTCTCTGCATTTGATTGATTTTGCCAATATTAGTGCATGAGAAGTGAGGCAGTATACCTCACGTCTAGTGAGTGGCCCAGTCCTTCGTATATTTTTCTGTATGTGGCCCTCGAGAAAAAGAGTTTGGACACCCCTGTTGTAGTGCGTATTTAATGTGGCGCTGCACTCTGATGTTGTAGGAGAAAACATTTATTAAAAAAAGTCTATTTTATTAAGTAGAAACGTCGTGAGAATTTTATTGTTTTTTTATTTTATTGTTGCCCTTCTACGTGACTTTACCGAAAGAACCAAGAACGTAAGTAGAACGTGTTGTCTATATTCATTTAAAGTTGCGCATTTTGATGTGACGTCACATTTCTCACCCCCCCCCCCCCATCGTCACACATCGCCACAAATGTCTGACCCCCTCCCCCCCTAGGTGCGTGACGTCATTTATGGGCGTCCCCTAACGCACCCTGGGCTGACTGTTGAGACCACGTGACCCGGTTTGGTTGACAGCGGAACTGGAGTTGCCAACCGTTCGGGATTGGCCGGGAATCTCGCGGGATTTGTGTTGATATCTCGGTGGCGATTGCAGAACAATCCAAGACATTTCGATTTAAAGCTTTCGTGACTGAAAGGATTCATCTTCTTTGGTTCTTTCGGTAAAGTCACGTAGAATGAGAATAAAATAATACATTGATAAAATAAAATAACGCAATAATATTCTCACGATGTTTCGGCCACAACACAAGCGGCCTTCATCAGGTGAAGGGACGAGACTGTCTGGAGGACAGCGCTGGAGTGAAAAAGCCACGCACAGATCGCGACCTTTAAGCTGTGTGAGAGGAAACAAAGCGCCTTGACAAAGGAATTAGCATAGAATTTAGCATTGAAATAGCTGAGTGATTAGCTTGTGACTGGTCACAGAAATGGCTATGTTAAAGTTAAAGTATACACATCCGCAGAGGTACCCCTTGATAAAAGAATTGGCATAGAATTTAGCATTGAAATTACTAAGGTTAAGCATACACATCCGCAGAGGCACCCCTTGACAAAGGAATTAGCATAGAATTTAGCATTGAAATAGCTGAGTGATTAGCTTGTAACTGGTCACAGAAATAGCTATGTTAAAGTCAGAGCATACACATTCACAGAGGCACCTAGTACAAATCAAACAGGAGAATTTAGCATTGAAATAACTAGGCGAATTTAGCATTGAAATAACTGAGTGATTAGCTTATGACTGGTCACAGAAATGGCTATGTTGAAGTCAAGGCCTACACATCTGAGCTATTCACAGTAACTGGGTATACACTACAATATATAATGACTACTACATAGTGAACCAATAAAAAACTAAAATATAAATTACCTCAATGTTATCAATAAACTCTATATATTCTCCAATCAGCTAAGCTACCAACAATAAGTCGTTATATATCACAATGCTATATGGCGAAAAAATGGGTGGATTCTTACCCTCAACTTTAGCAACACGGATAGCTACGGGCCCCGTTCAGACGGACGAGTTCATCCATGGTCGGAACAGAGGAGGGGGAGAGAGACAGCTGCGAGGCGCTGTTATACTCCATGTTGTAAACCATACCATTAACCGTGGTGTGAGAGGTATTTAAGAGTCAATGCCAGCGAAAGAGCTGCGGTCTGAAGGTCATCGTAAAATACAATGAATTAAGAACGGAAATGGTTTAAAACATCTTTCCAATGGTTACTAAGCCAGAATCCATCTTCTCGGTTGAAATTGTCTCTGTGCTTGTATATGTGAATGGCCTCATGAACGAATCTCTCATGGTAGCCGGTTGGTTTGCAAAGAACCTCCGTCTTGGAGAAGTCAATGTCATGTGAGCCCACTGAATTATAACAGTGATCTGTTATAATAACAGTGATCTGTTATAATTCAGTGGATGACACTTTCGTCATTTGGCCACATGGCCTCCCAGCTTTGAACCTTTTCCAACACCACATCAATTCTAGACATCCCGCCATCAAATTCACCATGGAAGTGGAGAAAGATGGCAAGCTACCATTCTTGGATGTTCTGTTTGAGAGGACACCTGATGGATCACTGGGGCATTCTGTCTACAGGAAACCCACCCACACAGATTCCTACTTGAAACGTGAAACCCACCACCACCCAGCTCAAAAGAATTCTCTCATCAAAACGTTATACCACAGGGCACATTGCATTTCGGACCAACACCACCTGACCAGTGAATTAAAACATGTACACCTGGCCCTTAAGAGAAACGGATACTCTGACCGTACCATCCGCCAAGCTGTTTCTCCCTCCATACAGAAACTACCACTTGATGCTCCGGTGAAAACCATCACACTACCATATATAGCAGGCGTTACTAAAAAGATCTCCAAAATTCTAAACAAACACAAGATCCTGGTCCGGTTCAATACAGTACACAAAATCCGTGACCTGATCCCATCCGTGAAGGATGTTGTTCCTGACTTACAGTACCCCGGGGTTTACGAACTGAGTTGTACCTGTGGTGATTGCTATATCGGGGAGACGAAACGACATGTCTCTGACCGAATTCGCGAGCACAAATCAGATTTGAAACACGGCAGAACGAATTCTTCTGCCGTAGCTGATCACTGTTACAACGCTGTGGGTGATCACGATATAGTTTTCTCCGATACCAAGGTTCTCAGCAAACCCACGGGTTTTTATCAGAGATTTGTCCACGAGGCAATTCAGATTTACAAACACAGACACAATTTCAACCGAGAGGATGGTTTCAAATTAAGCAATCATTGGAAAGATGTTCTAAATAAAACCAAACATTAAACAAATTTTCAATGGTACAGTATATTTATTCAAGTAGTGGTATTCCAAACTTTCACAGCAGCTTATTTGCCTTCCCACCAACATCATGTAAACTCCCCCCCCCCACCGTGCCGGTCCAGTACATCATTTTATGCTAATTCCTTTGTCAAGGCGTTTTTTTGTTTCCTCCCACACAGCTTAAAGGATGCGACCTGGGCTTGCTGTCTTCACTCCAACGCTGTCCTCTGGACAGTCCAGTCCCTTCACCTGATGAAGGCCACTTGTGTTGTGGCCGAAACGTCGTGATTTTTAATTTTTATTTTTACCTACGTGACTTTACCGAATAGAACCAAAGAGTATGGATCCTTGCAGTCGAGTGGTGACTACTTCTGGTCCATACTGGTGAACAGTATTCGGCTACAGAGCACACAAGGGCCATCGCTGATAGTCCGTAGCACTGGTGCTGATGCTGCCCAGCGTGTGCTTGGCAGTTTCTGGACCAGGTTGACCCTTGTTTTGGTCTTGGAGGCTACCTTTTTGAGGTTGTCATGGAATGTTAGCGTACGGTCCAGCTTCACTCTAGTGGCCCTCCGGTGGGGATCATGAAATATTAATATGGCTTAGGGAGGTCTTTATCCAGCAGTGGAATGACCATGGAGGGTGATATTGCTGACGCATGGAAACGAGTCATACGGGTATTAGACTTGCAGCCATGAGGAGCGCAAATCATTCAAGGCAATATTTAAAAAATAATTGATTCTTTGATTGTCAACCCCAAATTACTATTGTGAATGGAATATCCAGGGTGGTGGATTGTTAGCCCCAATAGCTTGAGTGGGGCCAACATTGAGCATCAGAGCACTTGGTGTCAATTCAGCATCGTAGTGATGGGCCACTCGATGACTCAGGAACCAGGGGTGAGGCGAAGGTAGGAAGTACAAACTCAAGTGCTGTTTTCTATGACCAGTATTGAAACCAGGCCCCTGACCCACCGCTACTGGACATCTGTGAAAAAGAGCTTCGTATCTCATCAGATTCCTCTAATCTAAAAAAATAATTAAAATTTATAATGCGGATTCCATTCTAGGATCCCAATGCGCAATGCACTACAAGCAGTAAACAAAAGCTCGAGTGAGAAGAAGGATGTGAGCTCTGAGCCAAGCCTGGGTTGACGGACCTGGCTGGGAATTAAACAGTTCATTCGCAGGAGTGACCACGTGTGAAGCTGCAGAATCATATATGTGCATGCGAATATTGCATTGTTCAACAGAAGCACCAAGACTTTGTAAATATATTGCAAATAAAATTAGTTTTTTTTATGTTACATGTATATCAGCATTTGCGCAAGTGTGCATCTTATCTTAATATTTACATAGTGCCTTTAACAAGGTGCTGTAACAGCAATTATACAATTGTACCTAGCATAACAATAAATTGAAAATATACATTGAAAGGTAGTCAGCCCAAAATTGCATTGGAAAGACAAAGGGGGGTGGGGCGAGGGGCTGGAGCCAGGAGGGAGAAGGGGCCCATGGCGATGGAGTCCCCCGCACCACCGACGAGTTCCGCAATGTCCACGCAGTGCAGCAGTGGAGTCCCGGCCGGGGCCCGCGACAAGGAAGAACCCGCAGCCTCGGCCCGGCTTGCTTTCCACGGACGCGAAGCTTCCCTCCGTGCCCGGCATGCTGATATGGTGAAGACTCCCCCGGCCCGGAGCTCGACCTTCCATCCTTCGGACCGCACAAAGCCCCGATGTCCCGGGGCTGCCGATGCCTTGGCAGCCAAGTGGCCCGGAACAGGAGCCGCCAGATGCGGGTGACGGAGCGGCCCAACGGTTTCGAGGGATGGCGCGGAAGTCGCTCGGTGCCGGCGATGCCCGGTGGGCAACCGCCGGCAGCCAGGCCACCAAGTAGAAATGCCCACAGGGCACGGGACAGGCAGGAGAGGTGGTCGGGAACCGGCGCTAACAGCACTTGCCCGAACAGTCTGTTAAGGCTATACAGGGGATCTCTGTGTTATATGTGTGCATGTGGGTTGAAGTATGAAAATGTGTTTTCCCCTTTGTTCTGGTAACAAAACAGGTGGGTCTCCTGTGGGTTGACTCAAACTCAAATGAGGACATGGTGAATGCAAAAAGATCGTCACTCGGGAAACAAAGGCAGCCGGGTGTGACCACTATGCTGGCCTTGCCCAAACAATCTGTTTTGGGCTAAACGAGGGATCATTAACTTTGTGAAGGGTTGAAGTAGGGAGCAGGCAATGCGATATGACGAGAGATGTAATCATGTTAATTCATAAATGTTCGGAGTGAAGAGGAGGAGCGGGGAGGGTTTGTCGAGGAAGGGTAGTCACTGTCCACGACTATTTGCGCTTCCTCCTAAATTTAAATTTTGGCATTTTCTTCTTGAAAGTCGCCTTGAATTTGCTGTGCAGTTTCTTCACTTGCGTTCTCTTATTTGCCAGGAATTTCTTGAACTTTTCCTTCTTTTTGCCTGCAAGGAGACAGATCACGTGAAGGGAAACAACTTAACAATGGTGAGTAATTGGAATGAATCAGTTATCAGAAAAAGCATCAATGGACCGATATCTGCTTTACGTCAAATTATATTGGTGAAGTAAGAGCCACAGGCTCTGGCCCAGTCTTACGACTGTTGTCAGATCTAGTGACGGAGGATTTGTTCATGAAATAAAAAAATCAAGCGTTTTCAACTCTGGCCAGATTAGTAATGTAGAATTGCATGACTATTGCAATTCAATGTTCTGCCAACATTTTACGAGTGGTATACCATCATGAAGGCAACGTGTAAAACACAACTCCCGTTTGCGACCAAGTGGCGGTGAAGTCACTACGGCACGTGTGCCATGCTACGTGCACTTTGAGGCCAAGTGAAATGTCGAAGGCTCGCTGGCAGGAGGTCATGGAACAGATCCAGGTGCCACAGTTTGTCTGAGATGAAGGTACGTTGAACTTCTTTGTACCACACATAGCCAGCCGTGCTAATCGGAGGTGCGAGATGACTGGTAGATGCACACAGACACACACACTTCTCTCACCTGTCTTCAGGTTCTTCGCCTTATGGTGCGACTTTTTGTGGGCATCACCATTGCCATCTGTGCTGCTGCTGGTCTCTGGCTCAGGCTTCAAGCTTTGCACCAAGGTAGTTAGAATCTCCATAAACCACCCGCCTGGTGCAACGTCTTCACCTTCTTCATCCACGGCCCTTGGCTGCGGCATTATGTATTGGCGAATTGCCGTGAGGACTCGTGAGATATCGCTCCAGAGTGATGGTGGCGCGTCTTCTTCATCACTGTTCATGACATTGGCTTCGCCACCATCATCTGCAGGCTGTGCTGAAAGGCTACCACAAAAAGTGCCAAAGAGAAGCGGAAGAAAATTGTTTAGACATGAAAGGTTGCCTTGCTAGGATGCAGTGCACGTGGCTTGTACAGTGTTCATCATGGGTTCCTATACTCCTGCACAGTGCTCTTATCTTCCTACATCAGGGGTTGGCGATCGAAATAACAAGAACCATTTTTTTTAATTCGGTAAAAAAACCCCTCAATATTTCAACAGCCGTAATGCACTGTGGTGAATACCAGACAGTCCTTAATAAATAAAAAAACGTCACGAAGCAACCCTTAATGAGCCGGACGCTACTCTGGAGTCACAGGTTGCCGACCCCTATCCTAGCTCCTACTACACACACACCTAGACATTGTCTCACAAAGCTTCACATGCATTTGAAGCTTCTTTAATTAGTTATTCATCACTGCTTGCTGGTGGCTGGTTGGTGTAGAGATATGTTCGTGTGAACCGGCACTGCTGAGATTTTTTTTACTGCTGAGGAGTGCATTGATTTCAGTTAAATCCGAGCTCTGAGAGTTGTGTGGTGGACGTTACTCTGTGAAAGCGGATGGGGAATTGTTGCCCCGTGGTGTACATGAGAGGTCACTTGAAGTGAGTTCAGTAATTGTGTGATGTTTCCATGGACCATTGTCTAACATGGGGTGATGCTGCCTTGCAAGAATGTGATTTCGGATGCATTATTCATTTTAAAACATGATACTCATTTTACAGAAGTTCATCGTACCATCAAATAAAACGCGTGCTAAACTGCCAAGGACTCGCTGATTAGTTATGAAGCTACAAGATAAGAGCTGTTTGTTTTTCGTTTTTCTTCAAGTCACTTTAAGATGAAGGGCTTACCCTTGACTCCAAACATTCTACAATTATATTTTTACAAATAACATACGCAGTGTTTTACATGGAAGGGAGGCGGTTTAAATGGAACCAATGGCAAAGAGTGGTTGATTTTAAGAAACATGTGCTCCCTGGACCCTGCATTTACCCTCATCATCATCACACTCACCTCATGTAACGCCAGTATAGAAGCCTTGCACCAACACACAGGGTGATCAGCCCAATGGAACTTAGGACGGACAACGTAACCGTCTTGTAGACTGCGTCCACATACAAGGGAGAGCAAACATTCATTAAGTTATCTCCAGCAAAATATCAACAGGGGTGACTCACATTCCTAATTAGTAAGGGTTAGGGACAGTGATATAACTGTTCAACCTCAGTTATTAATTCTTTAATATGTGTATTCGTTTTGTGTTGTTAGCCTTTTTGCATTCTCTAGTCTAACACTGGTGAGACAAGGCCATGAAGGAGGCTGTCTCTGGTGGAGGCCAGTTAGTCTCAAGGACAATACATTCATTTTCGAAGCATGTTTGCTTGCATGTTTTACCACAAACATTTGTGGTTAATGCAGAGTCGATGCCTTCCAATAGGTATGTATTTGGTGTGGGAAAATCTTAACACCTATATTATTGCCAGAAAGGGTGAAGCCATTTCTTTTTCAATCGCTAGTTACAAAGTTTGGGTTTACAGTTAGGGTTAGGTTTAACATTACGCATAGGGCTTGGAGTTAAGGCTAGACACCGCTAGAGGGATAATCATAAGATAATTACCTGAAGATTTGTGGACAATGTCGGGTGCTTGAGGGGTTGCAGTCGCGCTGGTCCGAGGGGGAGCTGTCGTCATTTTCATGCCGCGCATCCGCTGGATCCAGCCGGACATTCCCATCGCCGGCTCCACTCCTGAACGACCGACCACCAGAACCAACGTGTGACGATGGCAAAATCATCACACACCCACCCTATGTGTATGACACCAAACCTCGCAGCAGAATTCTGGACCGTTTTGAACTTTGAAATGACCACAGCAGGGAAACCGTAAGGGGAGCGAGTTGAAACGTAGTCCAACAGAGAAGTAATGAAGGCATGGATGAGAGTCTCAGAATATTCCATATGCGGGCAATGAAACACTGGCATCAGTAGAATGCCTTTTTGACTGGCGACATTTGGTCGGTGAATAAAAGCATGAGGATCCAAAATAACCACGAGGTTACACGTGCTGTTTGCCAAGATAAGGTAACAAAAATGGTTTTATTTGCATATATTTACAAGTGAATTGTTATATTTCCTATACTCTGCACTCCTATCGTGTTTTTTTATTGTTTGTTGTTGTAACGTTCTGACCTCCCCAAACTGGAGATCTGTGAAAAACAGCTGTATAGCTCATTGGATTCATCCAGTATACATAAATATTCTGATTCTAATAATTTTTAGGTTCAGGAGATGCACACGTGACTTGGAAACTTTGTGAAACAGGCTTATGTTTTACCAATTTGAAGGACCTCAATTTACGTTCGTATTTACCAGCATCAACACTGCTACTATCGCAACACAACCACTACTACCAACACAACACATAATTGAAACCACCACCACGGTATCAACACCATCCCAATCGCCACAAGCCAACCACGATGACTACAAGGCAACCACAAAGCATTGCCTTCAACACCATCTCCTGCATCACAACATCCACCAACAAAGACCCCTCCTATAGCCTTAACAAATTGTTGAGGCAAGTGCTGTAAGCAAGCAACTATGAAGGTCAACACTGTACACGAGTGGGTGGGTGGTCAGCACCATGCCCGACAACCCTTGTCTCCCCAGCGACAATGTTTGCACACCACACCAGGTACAGTCCACATGCGAGGTTGAGTCGACTTCGGGGAGGACCATGAACGGTTCGGATAATCATCACTGGTGTTGGCCGTGAGTAGAAATCAAACTCGGGTTGCTGGGTTCGTATCACAGCGCGCTAACCACTGCACCACTGCTGCCCACATCCACCAACAGTGCCACTAATATCACCAGCGCACGTGTAAAGCCCTAGTGGAGCCCAGTGGATCTCCTGGTGGAATTCCTATGGATCCCTATTCATCACTCTTACCCTCGGGCGCACTGATGCTGTTTTTGGACATCACGGGCTTTGCAGCCGAAGGATGGAACCCCGCAAGAAGCAGCAGCAGTAGCGGCAGGAGCAGTTTGAAGAACTTGAACTCCATGGCGAAGCAGCTGTAGTAAGTGGAGCTCAGTGAATATCCTGGAGCTAAAACTTAGCGTTGTTGTCGGGAGCTTAAACGTGGAGCGTCAACCTCACCAGACCGCCTTGAAGTGTGTGACGTCACTACCGGTGAGTGGGCGGAGCCAGGCGAGTGGGCGGAGCTAGGCGAGTGGGCGGAGCCAGGCGAGTAGACGCGTCCATTCGGCAGTTGAGAGCGGGAGGGGGGGATTTAAGGTAATCCAGGCTTTTGATCAGGTAATAACAATTGTATTTACCTCGCTTATATTTAATTTGACAAATAAGGGTCTCTCTATTTAATACGTACGCACAAATCTGTCAAAACTTAGCCCCTCACCCCTTACCTTTACCCACGCGTACTTTTTACACCCCCCCTCCAACCTGCGTACGTACGCCTGTCGCACCCCCCTCCACCCGAATCCGATAGAACGGCCGATGATTAATCCACGCAGCAACGATCAAGGATTAATAACATTAACGCGTTTAAGCAAACAGATAGTCCACCGCCGGCTGTATTAAAGAATTAAGTTGTGTACCTTAGCCACTTATTTTGCTGAGCTGCGTGATAGATAGCGGAGCAGTCAGGTGGCACACAAAGTGTGGCACCTCTCCCACAGGCCCGCTTCTCCCGCTAGTACTTGTTGTGTGACAGCTGAAGACACTGAACTGTGGCTTATTTGAAGGCCAATGTAGACAAATTATTATCGAAGCTTCACCTCCTCCCTTCGTTACCTATGTGTACGCACATTGTCAGTAGACCCCCCCCATACGCAAGCGCACGCATTTGGGTTAACCCCCCCCACTCCCCCCTCCATGAGTACGTACTAAGTGGATGGCCCTCTAATGTGTCGCTTGTGATTGCATCTAATTTGTAGTCTCATTTAATGTGCTTCTCCTTGTGGACTATTTTTGCCCCCCCCCCTTCGTCACACGGCGTGACAAAAAGTCAGACCCCCCTCAAATATGACGTCACAAAGCTCTGCCCCCCCCACCCTCCCAAAAAATAAAACATGCTTCAAATCGATAGAAACGATTGTCATTGTAGTGCAGAGGTGTCCAAACTACGGCCCGCGGGCCAACTGCGGCCCGCCATCCATTCTTAATTGGCCCGTATCAAAGTCTAAAAATAAAATGCAATATGGCTCACAGGATTGCACTTCTTAGTTTAAACACGAGGTGGCGCTATTGTCTTGAACAAGGCAACATCTCCACAAAGCAAGCAATCGAAGAAAACATTTGCTCAGGGTCACCAGAAAATGCCGGAACCGAAGAGACGCAAGATTGCATAGAAACCAAGGGGAAGTGTGTTTGTTTGATTTGTAATGAGAGTGTTGCCGTGATGAAAGAGTACAATGTACGACGGCATTATGAAACAAAACATCAGACCTTCACGTCCTACACTGGCGCCGAGCGGAAGGTAAAGCAAATGGCAGCTAGCCTGTTAATGCAGCAGCAGGTTTTTTTTTCCGTGCTAACAAAGCTCAAGAAAATGCAACAATAGCCAGTTATGAAGTAACTCAACTCATTGCCCTACATGGGAAACCTTTCTCAGACGGTGATTTCTTTAAACAGTGCCTCACCAAAGTCGTGGGAATAATGTGCCCGGAGAAAATGCAGGATTTCAACGATGTTAGTATGTCCATAAATACGGTTGCGCGGCAAATTGAAGACTTATCGGCTACCTTAAAACAGCAAGTGTCAGATAAAGCTTGTGCTTTCGATTTTTACTCGATTGCATGTGATGAGAGCACAGATGCCACGGGCACTGCACAACTGTTAATTTTTTTGCGGGGAGTTGATTATTTTTGCATTACGGAGGAACTCCTCGATCTTCGGAGTCTAAAGGGGACAACAACTGGGAAGGACATTTTTGAAGCTGTGTCAGATGCAATTGACCAGGCTGGACTTAAATGGGACACGCTGTGTGGAATTACAACAGATGGGGCTCCAGCAATGACAGGCGGGCGCAAAGGAACGGCCTCTATGGTGAGTGCCAAGGTGCGGGAGAGCGGAGGCGAGGCTGTCAAAATGCACTGTATCATCCACCAAGAAGCCCTCTGTGCCAAGATAATCCAGCTTGGCGTTCCTCTCTGATGTCGATGCTGAATACGGGGACCTACTCTACCATTCTGAAGTGCGCTGGCTCAGTCGCGGCTCCGTGCTGCAGCGGTTTTATTCCCTGAGATCAAATATCGACAAGTTTTTTTAAAGAAAAGGGCAGACCTCTCCATGAGATCAGTGACCCTTTATGGTTGGCAGACCTGGCTTTTTTAGTTGATCTCACTGATCATCTCAACACCCTGAACAAGAGACTACAAGGCAAAGAGCAGCTGGTACCACAGCTGTATGCGCACATGAAAGCATTCCGTGCGAAGCTCCGTCTCTTCGAGTCTCAACTGCGCAACTTCAATGTAGCGCACTTCCCCACGCTGACCGAAATCAAAAGCACAAAAATGGGAGAATATGTGTCTGTGATCACATCTCTCATGACAGAATTCAGTCAGCGCTTCCAAGATTTTTCTGTCATTGAGAAGGAAATCACACTGTTTGCGGCTCCGTTTTCAATGGATGCAAAAGAAGTGGAGGAGAGTCTGCAATTAGAACTGATCGAAATTCAGTGTGATGTTTCTCTGAAGAATCAGCATCAGCTTCTCTCCTTACCTGACATCTACCGGAGCTTGGAAAAGGCCCCTGATGAGACGCCATGCAAAACGAATGATGAGTCTGTTCGGCTCAACATACATCTGTGAGCAGACATTCTCTCTGTTAACGTTGAACAAAAGCAGACTGAGAACCAGAACGACCGACAGCCATCTCAGTGACGTCCTTCGCATCTCAACCACCAAACTTACTCCTGACCTGCCAGCTATCCTTCACACCAAAGCGCAGCATCACAGCTCCCATTACAGGTGAGTTCAAAATATACACGCAGTTTTCATTTGTTAATTAGCCCAATTACTTTATAAATTCAGTCAATTAAAGTTGATAATTTTTTTAACAAACGTTAGTTGATGTGTTAACAAGCCCAATAATTTATTTGTGTAATAAGCTTGAAATATCCACATCCCCTATTTCTCTTCTTGTCTCTGCATTTGATTGATTTTGCCAATATTAGTGCATGAGAAGTGAGGCAGTATACCTCACGTCTAGTGAGTGGCCCAGTCCTTCGTATATTTTTCTGTATGTGGCCCTCGAGAAAAAGAGTTTGGACACCCCTGTTGTAGTGCGTATTTAATGTGGCGCTGCACTCTGATATTGTAGGAGAGAACCTTTATTTTAAAAAAAAAGTCTATTTTATTACGTAGAAACGTCGTGAGAATTTTATTGTTTTATATTTTTATTATTTTATTGTTTCCCTTCTACGTGACTTTACCGAAAGAACCAAGAATATAAGTAGAACGTGTTGTTTCTATTTATTTGAAGTTGCGCATTTTGATGTGATGTCACATTTCTCACCCCCCCCCCTCATCGTCACACATCACAACAAATGTCTGACCCCCTCCCCCCCTAGGTGCGTGACGTCATTTATGGGCGGCCCCTAACGCACCCTGGGCTGACTGTTGAGACCACGTGACCCAGTTTGGTTTACAGCGGAACTCGAGTTGCCAACCGTTCCGGATTGGCCGGGAATCTCCCGGGGTTTGTGTTGATCTCTCTGTGGCAATTGCAGAACGATCCGAGAGATTTCAATATAGGATGTTTTAAGAAAATAAATTAATTTAAATTAATATCGCGAAACAGCTTCGGCCAGAGTTGGCAACACTAAGTGGACCAGGTGGCAACGCTAACATTAAACAGTGACGTATATTATTACACAGGAGGACTGATTTACTTCTCAGTGTTACTGGCAGTCTCTTGAACACCAGACTGGCAGCTGCTTTCGGATAAGGGGCCTCAGCAGTGTGTTATAGGGCAATACACCAACAAGATCTCGACTCTGCAAGACCTTAAAGTAGTCGTTCTTCAACGTATTGTTAACGTGTGTACAATTCTGTGTGACACTCAAGAAAACAAGCCGACATGAAGGCAACTTAGATACGTTTTAGTACGTAGGCACTCAAATAATAATGTTAATATTTGAGAGTGAATGGCATTGGCGTTATTTTAAATCTGGCCGCGTCTCCACAACAAAGACAAAGATCCCCCACCGTGTAGCCTTCACAGAGTGTTGTGGCAAGTGCTGTTAGTGAGCAGCACCTATTAAAGCCGGCATGGCACAACGACGGGGGTGGGTGTGCTAGCACACACCGTACCAGGTACATGTTGGAGGCTGAGTCGACCTAGGGGAGAGGCCCACGATAATCGTCACCGGTGTTGGTGGCCGTGAGCGGAAATCGAACTCGGGTCGCCGGGTTCGTAGCGCAGCGCGCTAACCACTACACCACTACTCCCCGCACACACAAAACCCCTATGTCGTGTACATTGTGTCAAAAAACCATCAGCGGGACCTGAAGAACTGCTTCATGCGTCGTCTTTTGTCTTAGGTCAGCACCCAAAATAAATGAGCCAATGTGACCGACGGACAGGCAGCAGTGAGACAGACGGGCAGCAGCAGTCTCTTCTTCTTCTGGTCATGTGTGGCTGCTGATGTAGATGCAGCGCAACGACTACAATTTCACATTCAAGGTTGTCAAGCCAGCGGACAACCGCGTAAGGAGCAGTGGAGGGTATCGTGATGTCTCCTTCGTATGTGTGTGCATCGAGCATTGCATTGTTATATGCTCTATGGTTTGTTCTGGATGACTACAGTCGCACACGACTGGAGAGTTTTTTTATTTTCCATTTGTGCATCAAGGGTCCACATCCACCATGGTTTGTGCAGTGGATGCGTTTTATGGTGGACCATGAGCTTCGTGGAAGATTAAATCCAGGGATCTTCTGCATTGAGTCATTCACAAGATGTTGTTGCGTTCTTTTGAACTCCATTCAACTTCCCAAGCTTCATCGGGTTTGAATTGGCATTGTTTAAGGCTAAGCGCATGGGTCCAAAAGAGCTTGCCTGACTTCAAATGATGACAAGGGACGTTGTTGAGGTCCTAATGACTGGGCGACTGTTTTCCTCGATTTGCAGGCCTTCCCAGAGGTTTGCAGTGTTGCAACGGATGGGTGGGGGAGAGATGTGTAACAGCACGGGGAGCCAAGGGTGTTGGTGTTGACTTGAGGGTTCCAGTGATCCACTGCATTGCAGTGTTCAGTTGGACATGAACAAGTCGAGTGGTGACTACTTCTGGTCCATACTGGTGAACAGTATTCGGCTACAGAGCACACAAGGGCCATCGCTGATAGTCCGCAGCACTGGTGCTGATGCTGCCCAGCGTGTTCTTGGCAGTTTCTGGACCAGGTTGACCCTTGTTTTGGTCTTGGAGGCTA